GATCCTTGCTTGCGACAATCCATTGGGCACAGGAACAGGCGCGGGACCATCTGAAGGACGATTACATTGAGCGGGCCTCGGCCCGTCCGTCACTCCCTCGCACATCTTAAACATGAATCGCCTTCAATCCATACAGTGCTCGGAAACCTGTAAGGCGAATGTGCACGGTGCCAAGGCGAGGGCCACAATCTGAAAGCCATCCGCCCTCGATGCGTATAGCTGTTTGGCGTCTTGACACTTCGCGTGCCCGACACCAGCCCATCCAGAACGGATGCCCAGGCTGCCTTGATCAGTTGGGTGCGGGAGCAAGCGGTGCGTCAGAGAGGAGGAGCAGGCGTCCAACCGAAGCGCGGGATCAGCCAGATCAGCATGACCAGATCCAAGTGCCAGCCATGCATGATTTCGCCGATCTTTCGATATGGGAGCCCGTTGGTGTGCCTCTGGGACCATTTTTTGGCTTCCTCGGGGCTATCTTGGAGGCGCTTAGGACTCTCATGGGGCTCTCGTGTGGCCCTCTTGAGGGCTTTTCGGGCCCTCTTGGGCTCCTGGTCGCTCTTGAGCCGTCTTGCAGCGCTTCAGGGCCCCTGTTGGGGCTTTCTAAGGCGATCTCGGAGTCATTTTTGAGCTTTTCTGGGCTTCTTTTCGGGCTTTCTTGGGCCATCTCGGGGCCACCACCTTGAGGCTTTAAATGCTCATTGGAATCGAACAGATTTTAGGTTTGAAGGATTTCTGTTTCTCGGAGGCGTCCTCAGGAGGCTCCGGTTCCACTTGGAGCCGTCTTGGGCTCCTTGGAGGCATTCTGGAAGCCACCTTGAGTTATCTCGGGCAATCCTGTGCCCTCTTGGAGGCCATCTTGAGGCATGTTGTGCTATCTTAGAGCTGCTACGCCACGCCCGGTCGAGTAAGTCGGCCTTGTGCAGGGCTCGGGGATTCAGATACACTATATATATATATATATATATATATATATATATATATATAAAAGAAACAAAACGAAGCTGTCAGAGCTGCACATTGTCGTACCAGCGACGCCGCGGACGGCCTCTCGTGCAACGCGGCTGGCTACTATTGCCTTCTCGCCGAGGCCTTTCTGGACGCTTTAACCCCTCGCGGCCCCCCAAACAACTTAGGGAGGGGAGGGGGAGGGTAACACTCCCCGAAGGGAAAAGGGATTTTGGAAGAGGAACTAATCCGATCGTTAGATCACCTACGCCCAGAGGGCTGGTGAGAACGTGTTAAGACCCCTTTGAGTTCAGCGCCCTATCTGTGCAGGTTTTACAGATTTCATCCTGGTTGACAACCTCATTCTCCTGCTTTCCCCTCATCTTGGATGCCTTTTTGGGGCTTTCTTGCGTGAGCGGCTTGTCTGGGAGGGCTCGCTCTAGATAAGGTGCCTAAGATATTCTTGGCGTTTCGCGTATTTTCCATAAGCCCATCCAGAAACGTTCGCCAGGGGAATTGCCTTAATGATGGAAGTGTAGAAGTACGGCAGTGGAGCGGCCGTTGTGGAAGGGCGTCGGGGACGCAGAATTCAGAGGGAACACAGGTTGATGGTTTAAAACAAGTTCCCATGTCACGGCTGCTTGATTGGGGTCGTCTGGGGACGATTTTGAAGTTATCTTGGGCCCCTCTCGGGGCGGTTTGGTCGCTGTCTTTGGCAATCGGAGGAGTACGGAACATCAGAAAACGGGAGGAGGAGCTGGAGGAGGAGGAGGAGGAGGAGGAGGAGGAGGAGGAGGAGGAGGAGGAGGAGGAGGTGAGGAGGAGGAGGAGGAGGAGGAGGGCGAGGAGGAGGAGAGGAGGAGGGGGAGGAGGAGGGAGGAGGAGGAGGAGGAGGAGGAGGAGGAGAGGAGGAGGAGGAGGAGGAGGAGAGGAAGAGGAGGAGGACGAGGACGAGGACGAGGACGAGGAGGAGGAGGAGGAGGAGGAGGAGAGGAGGAGGAGGAGGAGGAGGAGGAGGAGGAGGAGGAGGAGGAGGAGGGGGGGGAGGGGGGGAGGAGGAGGAGGAGGAGGGGGGAGAGAGGACGGCGCCCAGTCTGGATCTGCCCAGCGTCAGGCAAGATCTTTCGTCCTCGGCGGGCAGCTGGACGACGGCGCGCGCCCCCCCCCCCCGCGCGCGCGCGCGGGGGCTGGTCGCGGCGCCTTCTTTCTGGGCGAGCGGCTGGGCGGCGGGGGCCACCTTTGTGGAGCTTCCGAGGCCCAACTTGCTTCAGGAAGGAAAAATACACAGAGACACAATGAATCGTCGATCCCCAGGAAAATAGGCGAATTTATGGGAAGTGGGGGGGAAGACGAAAATCCTCCAACATATGGGAAAATGCGGGGAACCCTGGGATTTGTGTGTATTTATTTGTGTGTCCCTGGGCCCCTTCATTTCTGACGATCTGATGATTAGTTCGGCTGGCGCTGTTTCTTTGACTTCGGCCCTCAGAGCCCGCCTTCAGACCAGCAAAAAAGGGCCCAGGTCGAAAATCTACCCCTGGGGAAGGGGTCGCCGGACGGGGCCAGGACGAGGATAAATCCGTGCCAGAGCGTTCCGGACCGCTCTGAGAGCGTTCCAGAACGCTCTCGGAAGGCCGCGGCGCCCGAGACATCCTCCAGAGCCACCTGATCCCAGAGATTTTCGATATTTAGCCTCACCCGATTTTGTCCTCGTACCCGGACCTCTTTGGGGTCGCGGATGGAACAAAAATCCAATCGGCGGATGTCTGGGTCTGTGGAGCCTCTGAGGGGTGGGCGGGGGAGGGAGGCGCGCGAGGACGGGCAGAGGGAGAACCCGAGGACCCGGGACTGGGGCCCCCAGGCCCCATTTGGGCGCGAGTTAATGGAGGGGCGGTAGATCATGCAGAGCAGAGCACGAAAACGTCCGAACAGTATAAGTCCAACGTCCACAGTACAGTTTCAGAAATTCGGCTCAAGAGAAATCCCGCAAGTCGAGTACTGCGCTCGCGTTTCTAAAACGAAGAAATGTGACATAATTGCAACATTTTAGCAATTCACGTTCAAGAACATTGGGGGGGAGCGAGGGCTGCCGAAAAGGGAAACTTTCTCTCTCCCCCCTTAATCGCCCCTCATCAATTCGCCCCCAACCCCGTGTCAAAAATCACGGCGCTGGGTTTTCGCCCATCTTCGGCCTCTGTGGGCCCTTGCTAGGCCCCAGGGCCGTCGACGAATATGACTCGGGACGGAGAGGAGCTGGTCCCAGGAAGATGTCGGGGCCCTCGCCAGTTTGCCCAGGGCCAGCTTCTCTCTTGCCTCTCGGCTCGAGACCTCGACTCGGAACCTCCCTGAAATCACCACGCTGGGTTCTGGGGGGCGTGGCCCCCTGCGAACGCATCGATGATGCGGATCGAACCTGGCCGCAGAGCTGTGTTTGGGAACTGCAGGAGGGGGTCCAGGAGGAAAAGGAGGAGGCGGACGTCCAGGAGGAGGAAGGGGAGGAGGAGGAGGAGGAGGAGGAGGGAGGAGGAGGAGAGGAGGAGGAGGAGGAGGAGGAGGAGGAGGAGGAGGAGGAGGAGGAGGAGGAGGAGGAGGAGGAGGAGGAGGAGGAGGAGGAGGAGGAGGTGCGCATCGACCCGGGTGCATCAGCCCCGCCCCCCTTCTCGGGACAGGGTGTGGCCTGGGGCCTGGCCACCTTGCAGGGCCGTCCCGCCGCCGCGCGTCCACAGGGCAGCGCGGGCGGCGCTTCGCCGGGAGGCGCGGCGAGGGTCTGGGCGGCGGAGGACAGCGCGCAAGGCTGCCGAAGCTGCCGCTTGTCGACGGCGGCAAACGCCATAAGGATAACCTTTTGGCGCTCCGCTCGGATTTCTTGGATCCGCGCGGAGCGCCCAAAGTTTATGTTCATGGCGTTTTTCCCTCTTCCAGCTTCGCGTGGTATTCGCGGAGGAGCCAGCGGCTCCCAGGGCTGCTGGCGGCCAGGCCGCACCGTCTGGTGGTGGAGTGGAGGCGCGCGTAAGAGAGGGCGTCGAGCCAGACGACGGCGTCGACGCGCCCAGAAGTTTCGCCAAGCTGTGCGAGCTAGACGATTTGCGCGAGTCGTGCAGCGGCAAGCCGCCCAGAGCTGGGCGAAACGGGCGGCATCGACGCTGTCGTTGAGGGGGCTCTCGGGCACAGACCCGCGAACTCCTGGTCGCTTCGGGATGGAGTCTCGCCCATCTCGTTACAAGACAAGTTCGACGTGGAGGAGACGTTTTTTTTCATTGCGGACAGTGCCCCATTTGAAGATGGCCGTCTGTGAGTCTTCAATCGCGCCAACAGGCAATTCTTGGGATTCCGACACCAGGAATCAGCGGGTCTGTTGCGTCTTGACAATCCTAAATCGTGCTGAGACATTGTTCCTGGGAATCCAGCACCTCGAATCAACGTGACTGGTGCGTCCTGGCAATCCTAAATCGTGCCAGAACACGGTTCCTGAGACTTCAACCAGGCGAATCCTCTAAACTTTCAAGACGAATGCGCCCAGCGCTAAGGCGATGACCAAATTTTGAAAACGGGCCGGCATCCATCATTGAAGCTGCTGCAAGCTTTTCCGACGAATGTGCGCGGCGCTAGGGGGAGCGCCACATTTTGAAAACGGACCACACTCCATCCGTGAAGCTGTTGCAAATTCTTTACGCTTCGCGTATCCCCACCAGCCCATCTCACAACAGCAACTCATGCGAAGCATGCCGACAGTCGTGTTTTTCAGGCGTGTGTCCGTTTGGCCCCGCATGTCTCCCCTGTTCCTCCTTCCTCCCGCCTCCTTGTACATCCTCCTTGTGGGGGGAGCGGGAGAAGGACGAGGCGGAGGAGGAGGGAGAGAAAGCGCTCCTCGTGATTTGAGTCGTTTGGGGTTTCTCGTCCTGGTGTGAGTCGTTCGGGCCCTTCTTCCTGGTGTGAGTCGTTCGGGCTCTTCGTGGTGTGAGTCGTTCGGGCTCTTCGTCCTGGTGTGAGTCGTTCGGGCTTCTCGTGGTGTGAGTTGTTCGGGCCCCTCATCCTGGTGTGAGTCGTTCGGGCCCCTCCTCCTGGTGTGACTCGTTCGGGCTCCTCGTGGTGTGAGTCGTTCGGGGCCCTCGTCGTGGTGTGAGTCGTTCGGGCTCCTCGTGGTGTGAGTCGTTCGGGCGCCTCGTCCTGGTGTGAGTCGTTCGGGCCCCTCCTTGTGGTGTGAGTCGTTCGGGCTCTTCGTGGTGTGAGTCGTTCGGGCCCCTCGTCCTGGTGTGAGTCGTTCGGGCTCCTCGTGGGGCCTCTTGGAGGCTCTTGGGGCCTCTTGGGGGCCTCTTGGGGGCCTCTTGGGGGCCTCTTGGGGGCCTCTTGGGGCCTCTGGGGCCTCTGGGGGCCTCTTGGGGGCCTCTTGGGGGCCTCTTGGGGGCCTCTTGGGGGCCTCTTGGGGGCCTCTTGGAGGCCTCTTGGGAGGCTCCTGGGGGCCTCTTGGGGCCATCTTGGGGCCTCTTGCGACCTCCTCAGAAGCGCAAAGAAGCGCTGCCCCCTGAGAAGGACAAAATGAGCCCAAAACCTTCGTAAAATCAATGATTTTGCTATGAAGGAAGATGAGCGCGGCCCCCTCGGGAGGCCAAAATGGGGCCAAAACCCTAGTAAAAGCAAGGATTTTGGCTTCACAGAAGAGGAGAGGGTTTTTTCTGGATCCCCCCGTCGGGGCCAGAATCCTCGTGAGGGTCGTCGTTTTTTGGCCCTCCCAGGAGTCGAAAAAGACTCCTCCAACCACCCGCGGCCCGCCCTCTCCAGACCCAGGGGGAGGGGGTAGGGGGAGGGGTAAACCCCTCCCCGAAGGGGAAGAAGGGGGGTTGAGGACAGAGCGGGCTCTCCAAACCACTCACGCCCTAAAGGGCTGGTGGGATTTTGAGACGAATGGGCCCGGCGTTAAGGCGAGAGACACATCTTGAAAACCACCCGCCCTCCATCCATGGAACAGTTGCACATTTCAAGCTCCAGGAGTATACACGAGGAGGATGTCTCAGGCGGAAAGCCTGGCCTGCCCTATCGACACGTCTGGGGGGTGCGACACGGAGGAGCTGTTTTTAAAGGAAGGGGATGGAGCAGGATGAGGAGAAGGAGCAGGATGAGGAGGAGGCGGAGGCGGAGGAGGAGGAGGAGGAGGAGGAGGAGGAGGCGGAGGAGGAGGAGGAGGAGGAGGAGGAGGAGGAGGAGGAAGGGGGAGGAGGAGGAGGAGGAGGAGGAGGCGGAGGAGGAGGAGGAGGAGGAGGAGGAGGAGGAGGAGGAGGAGCGGGCGTGGGGCGGGAGCGCGCAGGTACCGTGCTGAACATCGCCGAGAGCTTCGACCCCGTGTCGAAAGCGTGGCAGCGCCGCCCGCTCGCTGCGACTGCCTGCTGTTGCCGCCGCCTCTTCGCCGATGCCTCTTCTTATCTCGGGGGAGAAAAAGATACGGATACGTGTTGTCCCCCTTCGTTTTCGGCCTTTCCTGGTCCTCCTGGGGAATCCTCGTTGTCACCGCTGGATTCGCCTCGAAATTCTGGTCAGAACGCACCCCAAGAGAGGTCCGGGGACAACACGTATCCGTATCTTTCCGCCCCCCAATTATCCTAATCCTTCTTCTTGGTTTCGTTCTTCTTCTTCTTCTGATCCTTCCTCCCATAGTTCTTCTCGTTCTTCCCCATACCAGTGCGACACCTTCGCTTACCGCCCGCCTTCTCCCTCTCAGATCTCTCGTGCCCAGACCTACATCCACTCAGACTCTCTCACGCTTAGGCTCACACGCACAGACTCGCTCACTCTCATATTCACTGATGCTCCGCCTCACCCATACCCAGACCATCAAATCGCATGTCCACTCATACCCAGCTTAGTCATACCCGTTCTTGCACATACCTACTACTCACAATCTGGTCCGCCACACTCAGACTCGCTCGTACTCAGACTCACCCGTACTCTGACGCCTCCGACCCCTCCTCGCCGATGGCATGGCGACGCTGGCCTGCACGCTCTGCCACAAGCTCGTCGCTGCCAGCACGAACGACTGAGGCGGAATGCGCCACCGCTTGTCACTGCCGTGGCAGTGCGTCCCGAGAGGCACACTGCTGACATGATTCGGGGGGCGGGCCGGGAGGTGTGGGTGCGGAGAAGAAGCCGCAGGCATCCCCCTCCTTGCAGCTGTGCCCCCGCCACAGGTGTTCTTTTGGGCCTGTTGCGGGTGCACCGCCACCATCAAGCCCAGTAACCTCTAAGGGGCTTGTGGGGAATCTTGCGCGAATCCAGAGTGCACCCCAGTCGACGGGTCTCGGTGGCGGCCGCAGCCTGCGACGAGGGCAGGGTGATGCGCGAGGAGGTCCTCCGCCATCCCCCCGTCGAGCTGTGGCGTTACTCGCTTGCTTCCCAGGTGCGCCCCCCCCACCAGACTGTGGGTGTCAGGACACTCAGATGAAACTTCTCCTCTTCACTGTTGACCGACACTGGCTAGATGGCCGTTGCGTCAGTCCTCCTCATCCTCCTCCTGCTCCTCTTCCTCCTCTTCCTCCTCCTCCTCCTCCTCCTCCTCCTCCTCTCCTC